ACAGCAGAAAATTCTAAATTCTGGGCAATAACATTAAAAGAATTGCCTCAAAGGTGACATTTCCCCTCTCTTATAGTGTGTGTGTGTGAGAGAGAGAGAGAGAGAGAGGGAGGGAGAGGGAGGGAGAGGGAGAGGGGGAGGGAGGGAGAGGGAGAGAGAGAGACCAAAGAGGGCGCCAGAAATTTCAGAAGAATTGCAGCTGAATTTTTGTGTATATCGATGAGCATATTCAAATCTTTACAGATACATAATTACAAAAGGTGGGTTTTTTTTAAAGAAAAAAGTGTATAAAGCTACAGGGATGGTGGCAGAGTGCAGAGACAACTGACACGGGGTGTCAGGGATGATGGGTTCACATCACACTGCTGGGTGGCAGCTTCATTCTATGGGGTTGCGGCTTCCCGTGGTGCAGCTTCAACCATAATGGTGGCTTTTAGCTTCACCCAACAGTGCTTCTGGGACAGGCTGGAGCTGATTTTTGCCCTGCAAAGGACTTTGTGGTGTAGCTCAGACAGAGATGAGTTCCTACGAGTTTGGACCAGTTCAGCCGAATCGGTAGTGGTATGCCAGCCTGTGTCGCAGAACCAGTAATGATTGCTGGCTGGCCACGCCCCCGAACTGATCCACCTGCTTGGACGCTCATCTCCCGAAGCTTCCAGCATTGCAAAGGAAAGGCGGAGGGAGGGGTTGCCTGGCAAGTTTTGCAGCCAGCAACTTTGGGAGATGTTAGCCTGGCAGGGAGAGGGCAGCCCAACAAGCTTCGCAGTCGCATGGCTGTGAAGCTTGTTGGGGCCCTGTCCCCACCAGGTGAGCGGTTCCCGAAGCTGCATTGCATTGCATTGCGAAGGTGAGGTGGGGCGGTCCGACAAGCTTCGCACTCGCATGGCTGCAAAGTTTGTCAAGCCACCACCCCTGTCCCTGCCAAGCTAGCATTTCCTGAACCTGCCGGCATTATGAAGGTGAGGTGGGGAAGGGGAGCAGACTGGCAAGTTTCACAGCCGCCGGCTTCGGGAGATATTAGCCTGGCATGGAGGGGGGATGCCCAGCAAGCTTTGCAGTCGCGTGGCTGCAAAGCTTGGCGGACCACCACCTCTGTCTCTGATAGGCTAGCGTCTCCCGAAGCCACCGGCATTGCGAAGATGAGGCAGAGAGGGGCGGGTGGCCTGACAAGTTTCCCAGCCGGTGACTTTGGGAGACAGTAGCCTAGCTAACAGCTTTCTCCTTTCCCCATGGCCCTTCCATGCTTGCCTTCCATGTGGCTTTTCTGGCAGTCCCCTATGCCTGCTTGCCTTCTGAGGTTGGTGGTGCTGCAGGAGGGTGGGCAGATGCATAATAAAGCATACTGTCTTCAAAGCTTGGATCTACCCAAAGAGAAGGTGATGAAAATCCTTGTTAGCTTGCTTACTTTATAAGTAGTTCAAGACGCAAATATGCCTAATGCCTCTTCCTCCTCCTATTTTCCCCACAATAACTCTGTTACATGGGATGGGTTGAGAGAGAATGATGGCCCAAAGTCACCCAGCTAGCTTTCGTGCCTAAGGTGGACTGGAACTCACATTCTCCTGGTTTCTAGGCGAACACCTTAACCACTACCCCAAATTGGGTATGACATACGTATATGATGCATGATTTGAGTATGATGTAGTCCTAGAGTTGAATGCTTTCATTTTGTCTTTTGCTAGAGACTTCATTATATTTCCACCAACAAAGATATTTTTAGTAATGAGTTATTTTATCTTTAGATAGCTCATAGAATCTAATTTAGTGGTATTATGGCATCTAGAGCCTGATTTTTCAAGTGGCTATTAATAACCGTTAAAGACTTTCAGCACCTCTTACAATAAAAGAGCTAAATGCTAATTATATGTCTTTTATACAGGCCCCTTTGTTACAGTTACAGAACAGCAACTCTTGTCAAAGTTCTGTCAAATTTTTCCAGTATTAGGAAAAGCATTCTTTTGCCTATAGAAGATCATAGATACTTATTTATTTAGCATATGGCATATAGTGTCAGGGAAATCTACACATCTAGACACAATGCAGTCCTGACAGACTAGATTGCTAGTTCATTCTGTTGGGCGCTTGCACATCTATCCTTAGTGCACGGGGGAGGAAGGGGGCGAACTAGCTTTACACCAATTAACTAGTAGCTCTTCGGGCTCCTCTACCAGTCTTACCTCACCTGGCTTCATGTTGCATTACCTCCTGTCCAGCCAGGTCCGGTGCTGCCGTCCGTTCTACACACACATGAACACAGCGAGGTTTTTTTACCCACCGAAGTGGTACCCATTTATTTACTGGCAATATTGCATGGGCAGGAGTTAGGGACTGGGCGATGGGAACTCATTCTGTCTCATGGACCTGGGTTCAAACTGTCAGAATGCAGATCATTTCTGGTGAACATTTCCAGCGTCATTAAGCCTCTGTGCCATCGTTTCCCCTCACAAATGCTTTCTTTGTATTTTTATTAATTTTATCTTTTTATTTAGTGTTTTCATATTTCTTTGCAATTTTTTCCTCTTTTTAATTCTTTAAAATGTATGTTTCAGGTAAATAAAAATAAATGGTATGGGAGGGGGGGTCTTAAAATATCAAATATGTTTCCTTTGAATAATACATTTATATTTCTTATGTTTTTAAGATAAGGACAATTCAATAGATTTTATTTCATGTGAACTAGCTATCCCACGAACTGGATTTCAACTTCATTAGGCTGGAAGTATAAAATGCTGATATACTAACACATGTGATATAGACTTTTTCAACTATTGTGCCATTGTAATTTAATTTCCATGAATGTTTTGTGTATATAGTTTATGAAATAATATGATTTAAAAGATGAATTTAATTCTGAAGTATGTACAAAAAATATGGAATTTATCATCATACCTAGGTATCTGAAAGCAATATATCATAAATGGTTATTGCCTTAACATGGAAAATAATAATGTGAATTTATAGTTTTGGATTGAAGTGTTCACATTTTGCTTATAAACTCTGTCAATTTGATCAATACTGCTTCATAAGGTCATTATTTGGGGAACTAACTGCTTTTTGGCTATTAGGAACCTTTGGATCAACAGTTTGATATTGTAAGCTTCCTATGAGTCCTTAGCAAAATATATTTTAAATACAAGTTTAAGGACACTTTTTTAAAATAAACAGCAAAAGAGCTATTAGAATTTATATTCGGGAAAGTTTCAAATAGTCTAAAAGTCCAGATGGATTTGAAATAAGGGAAGTTTGAAAGTAGTCAAGTACCAAGATGTAGCACCAACCCCGAAGTGGCCAGAAAAATCCAACTGCCCCTGTTCCCTTTCTCCTCAATAGTTTGGGTCCTTCAGCTCACAGTCACTGATCTAGAATCTCAGGATCTCTTGTTCCGATCATTCACCCAATCATCTCTATTCATCTGGTTCAGTTCAGCCTCCTGGGTGTAGCTGGCGCCCCTCTGGTCACTGGCTCGGTCTCTTACACAACTCTCTAGTTTACCTTCGCTCTCTTTCTCTCTCTAGATCAATGTTGCTCCCTTTTTCTCTTTCTGGATTGATTATGCTCTTGCTCTCTTTGTGTGTGTCAGCGTTGCTCCCTTTCTCTCTCTTTGGATTGGCTTTGCTCCTGCTCTCTGCCTCTCCCCCTACTGTATTTATGACAGTTGCAATTCCTGGGGTCATGTGATCACCCTTTGCGATCTTCTGACAAGCAAAGTCAGAAGCCATATTCACTTAACAACCATGTTTCTAACTTTAACAACTGCGGTGATTCACTTAATAACAGCAATTATGTGGCAAGAAAAGTTGTAAAATGGGATAAAACTCACTTAACAACTGTCTTGCTTAGCAACATAAATTTTGGGCTCAATTGTTGTCATAAGTTGAAAAAATCCTGTAAATGTAAAAACTATATAATGGAAAATATATCTGGATGCTTTCCGCTGCTTGAAGATTTTAATGTGAATTTCTGATGTATATCTTATGTTTCATTTTAATACTCAGTGTTCAGTTATATTAGTTGCCTTTAGGTGTAATTTGGAATGTAGAAACTAAGCCTAAATACTGATTTTTGCAAATGTTGGCAGCATCTTTTTGTAATGGAATCTGGATAAAATACTCATTTCACCTTATGTAAACTCTGAATAGATCATCTCCTATTTTAGCTGTGATAGATTTCTGCAATTGGCTAGAATTACTATTTTCAGTTATGTTAGCCACCACATAATTTACCTGTTTTTCAGGCATTAATTTAGAACATTTTGAAATGTAATTTTATCTTTCATAGAGTTATGGTAGTATATTTGTTCACCTTTTTTGTCTTCTGCAGACTCTAAATAGTCTGTTAGTTATGCCTGGAAACTATGGGTATCTTTTCAGATGGAGCATCCAATAAAGTTTAACAAAGCAGCATAATCAGTTAGAATACTGCAATGGATTAGCATTTAGTCTTTGCAAAGAGTTAAATTCAGACTGTATAATATTGTAATTTGTTTCACTTATTTGAAAGTAATTAAATGTCATTGTCTTATTAATAATTCAATGACAAATTAATACAAGGACAAATTAATACAATGCATAAATGTCATTTCCTCGAAGTACTATTTTATAACATTTTCCCAGAATATATTTTACCATTAAAGCCTGTTTTGCAGGTTGCTTAATAAAAAGAAAACAGATACATCACTGTCATACTTATAGTCTTCTAATTAATAGCTGAGGAAGTTGTGTGACTTGTTCAGAATTAAACAATGTAGGGTGGGTTTTGGGGGGTTGGGTTGAGGGGTTAAACTTGGAGCATTTAACTATTGATAACTAATTATTTTTCTTGCCCAGTTTTTTGGCATGACATTGGGTGTTGTTTTTTTTTATAATCTTATCTGCAAATTTATTGAAACCTTAAAATAAAAGTATATTGCAGTATTTGAACCCTGGGCACTTTGCTAACATTTTGTCATGAAACTTATTTGTTTTGATTTCTTATATTTCTCTTTATTATTTTCTTTTTAGTGAGTGACAGTTGCTTCAGGAACCTTGCAGAAGACCGCAGTGGGATAAACCTTAAAGACCTCATCCAGGATCCTTCTTTGTGAGTATTTATTTTCAAGGGTGAATAACAGATTTCTAATTGATAAACACATATATTAAGCCTATGTGGAACATTCAAAAAGTTGATTTCCAAAGTGAAATGCTCTTCTCAAACTCTTTAACAGTCACTTCTTATGAAAAACTTGTGCTACTGCTTTGATGAAGTTCTTTAATTATGGGTGTTTTTGTATACATAGACAGCACTTTCAATTGAATAGCTTAAAAATAGCATGAAATGCTTATACAGGCAGCTGAGTGAGTTTTCTGAAGTATGTGGTTACTTTTAATGCTTTAATGGGGAAATTTACTGATGTTAACACATTTCTTAAAGCAACCTTTTAAAAAAACATTTGCATGATTCATATTTATACAAAAGAACATTATACATAGGTACATGCAAAGATATAAAAATAATTCATCATCTCCTGTTCAAGTTTCAGTAGAACTTTCAGAATAAGAAGCATCATAAGACATTTCCAGAGTTAACTTTAATTAAGGCAATCTTTCATTCTGACTTTAGCTTCACACAGTTATGAAATTGGGAGCTAAGGTTGATATCTGAACCAATATGTTTCATGTTAAATAATGATGGCATGGAATGTCTCATAGAAATTGAAGTTTTCCAAGGCATTATAGAGCTGAAACAGTATGGAACACTTTAGCTGATATTTGAGTCTAAATCATCAAAAATTATTTGCAATGCTAAGATTCTAGGATATAAAAGCTTGATTATTTCTATATGATAGTAAGCAGTAAATAGATCACAGAAAGAACTTGAGTGGGAGGTGCCAAGAAGAGCAGTTAGTAGAATGCATACCACCTGGCTACTCAGACGTGGTTTTCAGTGAAATCTTGGCAAACATTTCTTATTCTAATTTATTATGAGATTCCATACATAATTTATAAAATCTGTAAAAGCATACTTTTCACTAGAAGTTATTTTCAGAGATTAAAGAAATACTTTCTTGTATCATTTATTTCTGTTCCTCATCTTCCTTTTCTTTCTTGGATGTCGTACAAAAGCATTGCCTTATTTACGTTTCTTTTGTAATATGTATATTCTCAATTAATCCTGAGTTAGGTTATAATGTAACCAGGTTGGTCAGAAATCTGGCTTTGCTAAAATGTACTGGGAATTGAACTGCCATAACTCTGTTACTGTTTCTCTTCCTACAATATTAAGACCTTGTTTATAGTAAAAAAAATAGTATATAAGGTCAAAACATATAGCTGATAATTGGTTTTTGGCTGATGGAGGATGGCAATTCATGGCTGTAGGGAGTAGAAGTGAGAAAGAACAAGTATTTCAATCTGAAAGATCTCTGCTGAAAGAATATATGAAAACAGCTAGGAGCTACAGAGAAGTGGGGGTTCTTCAACAAGGTATTCAACAAACCAGGAAAGTCAAGAACTAATGTTTATATGGAGAATTGACCAGCCTTCTTTCTAACCCTAACTAAATATACAGTAATATAATTTAATGAGGCTCACATAGTAGAATATCATACCCCAAGTATCTTTGTCAATATAGAACCCAACATAGTTGGCTTATTGGAACTGTAACTCTTTTGTTGCCTATTAATGAAAGATTAACTAGTATATTTTGGACCATTTACGCAAGAGACAAAAGTCCATGATTACTCACCTGATGGTTTATCACAGCTGCAATTACAGTTTCCTGAGAGATCATACTCCGTATTTCTAAGGGGTTTGCTTTGTTTACATTTTAAAGGGTGCATTATTTCTTTCCCATTAATTGGTTAAAAAGTTCTCAGTTGTGTTTTTGTGACCACAAAATTGGTATAAAAGGATATAAAAATATCACAGAACATTTTAGTGTCCTCTGTCTTTAATGTTTCTTCTGAACAGATGGAGAACGAAAAGGAAAAGGGTTGAGAGAAAGAATGGGAAAAATTATGTTCTTTCATGAAAGGGAATCCAGGTCAAACAGTCTATTAAGATCGATAAAATATAGACGTGTACATACCATCTGTGTCAGGACATAGATATCTTAGTATTTTTATCAATGGACACATGAGCATCAAGTCAGCAAGAAGAAAAATGGGGATTTCCTGATTGAGATTTTCTCTGAGAAATTCTATGATATATTGCTTCAATTAGAGTGTCTCTCCAGTTATCTTTTTAATACTCTCTTGTAATTCTTAATCTCTGTCTGGAGGATTTATCTAGGATTTGACCAGGAGGAAGAGGCTGGTTTGATAAATAATCCAGATATGGGAAAGGAAAAGTGGTGGGAGACGTACTGAGCAATATTTATAAATGTAACATTAACTTCCTGCGCCTTTATCTATCCTAGCCCCTAGATCCTATTGCTTGTTGGCAGCTGCATTCTAGTTTATGGTCTAGAAAATATTAGCATCTAGACCAGAGTTGTCAAACTAAATTTCATTGAGGGCACATCAGCATTGTGTTTGACCTCGGGAGGCAGGGTAGGGGTGGCCAGGTATATGTCACTTGTTTCAGGGGTGCCTTTGGTGGCCTGAGAGTTCTGCCAATGAAAATGGGCTGTTTCCAGGGTGGCCCTGCAGGTCAGATCTAAGCATCCTGCAAGCTGGATCCGGCCTCCGGGCCTTGAGTTTGATACCCCTGGTCTAGACATTGACTTTCTCAAGAAAAGTCTTGGATTAAATCTGACAGGTAAGAGTAGTGCCCTAAAAGAGAATCATCCCTTTGAAGGAGTTGTTTAGAATAAGACTGCTGGCATATTAATTTTAACGTGTTTTCCAATATGGCTTTTTCCAGATGATAGACATGATGGGTCTGAGGCCAGCCAATATTTGGATAGAGGGCCAGGTATGGTAGTAATAATAATAGTAAGGGTATTATTACTATCGATGGCTACATATTTAGTCGATGGAAGTAAGTGCAGTGTTCTGAAAAAGAGTGTATTTCTGTAGATAAACAGTCTGTAGGGTAATAATTATCCATGGTCTGAGTTTTGGATTGGAAGAGGAAAAGCATGGCCTAAGTTTTAAAAGTGACAGTCAAAAGTAAATAGGGTAGGAGAATGAAAACTGGTCATTTTAATAGAAAAAAAACCATTGAACTATCACTTGCTTCAAACACTTTAAACAACTTTAAATGTCAGTAAATAATAAGCACTGTTCGTTTTGATCTTGGTTCAGGGTGAGAAAGCCTGTTTTGAACGTATTACTAAGTTCTGCTGGATAGAGGTATGCATGGAACTGAAAATATGGTGTTCTTTATGAATGAAATAAACTGCTCTGTAATTTTTGTTGCTCCATTCCATTCCAGCTCATTTTCAGTATCCAATTTCTGCTCTGAGTTATGTCATTATGGAATCAGAAGCAAATCTAAAATATCATGGTTAGATGTAGCAAACAGTAGAATGCTGAGATGGGGTGTAACACAGATGGCAGCAGGGAGAGAAGATAGAAAGTCTGATCTTTTTCTGCCATCCAATGGTTGCTGGGAGGGAAGCATTAAATTCTTTCAACACCCACTCCAATATTTAAATATGTACTTTACAGGCTACCCTAAGGTGACCAGACGTCACGATTTCAGTGGGACAGTCACGATTTATAACAATTTGTCCTGTGTCCCGGGGTTTTTTTTTTAAAGTCCCTATTTTCTGGCTTCATGTTGAAAGCCCAGTGGATTTGCTTAAGAAATCCTAACCGGGCAAGACAAAAGACACTCTGTCTAACCTCTCTCTCTCTGTCTCAGTACTTTCATTGAAGATATTAAAACTTTAAAGCAAGAAAACGGCCCCCCCCCCCGCCCCTTTTACTCAATTTTATAAGAAAAGATGACTCAGTACCATAGAGTTCCAGGAAATACTTGGCTAGAGAGGTAGTGAATGTTCCTTCCTGGATTTTCCGGAGGGAAAGGGCATGGAGGTTGGAGGTCTGCTTGTGTGGAAAAAATGGTGGCAAAGTTTCTTTGAAAAATATTTCCCTAACCATTTTAATTTGCTCAGTTCTTTGTATTAACATCTACATCATTCTGGATTGACTTGGAGTGCTCACTTGTAAGCACCTGTTGGTAAGTG